AGCGCGGGATGCTATACGCTCAGCGCTACATCGGGACAGCGATCTAAGCCGTCCAAAGTATCCGAAGGAGTGGACGGAGCTCCTTGCTGCGTATGTATCAATTAACGGCGTCCGCGCATGGACATTATTCGACTTAGGGTCGAATACCGACGCCGTGAGTACTGAATTTGCGCAAATATGCGAGCTCGACGTCTTTGAACTCGAAAATCCGATTACACTGAAACTCGGCTGCAAAGGAAGCCGATCTAAGATCACCCATGGCGGATATTCACGTACCGCATTCGGTAACATTAAAACGGATTGGTACTTTGATGTGGCAAATATAGCCCATTATGACGCTGTCGTAGGATTACCGTTCTGTGCTAAACATGGCATTACAATAATTCCGGAGCGCCGTACAATCAAGCTACGGGATGTTACTCTAATTCCCGCCGAATTAGAAGGGGGGAGGACCGGAGGAGGTGACAAATGGGCTAAGACCGTCGAAGCCAAGCCTCGGCCCTTTCGGAAGGCGACCGTCGAAGCCAAGCCTCGGTCCTTTCGGAGGGCAAACTAAAAATAACAGCCTCCGCCCACGACCCAAGACAGCGGTCCGTTCACACGGGCTTGACACGCAAATGCCGGATATTGCTGAGCATAATGTACCTACTGTACTTACAATGGCAAGTGCGATTGCAGACGAAGAGATCAAGGACATCAAATTCCCAAAGGAATTTGAAATCGCATACGAAGAGCACAAAGCCTCGGAAGAGGCCCAATTGAAAACTCCGTGGGGTAAACGGATACCGTTCCCCGGACCGCCCCCATCACGCGCCCAAGAAGCGCTGAGAGAAGAAGACATCCCACGCCTTCGGGAGCAATGGCGGGAACGAATTGCGGACATCACGGGTGATATCCCGCTGGAAAGGCCTCCATATCGGGAGGTGAATCATAAAATTAATATCATCGACCCCCGTAAGAGATACAGGGGCCATAGGCCAAGATGCCCGGAGGCATACCAAAAAATACTACAAGATAAAATAGAAAAATACACTAAGGCAGGCTGGTGGGAATGGAAACCAGTCGACAACGCGTTACCTATGCTCTGCATCCCGAAAAAGGATGGGAAACTCCGGACAGTATTTGACTTACGAGAACGTAATGAGAACACGGTGCACGATGTGACACCGATGCCGGACCAGGACCGGATTCGAAATGATGTTGCACGTGCACGTTACCGAACGAAGCTCGATATGAGCGACGCGTACGAGCAGATCCGGATCGAGAAAGGTGACGTACACAAGACCACCTTCTCGACCATTTTGGGCACAATGGTGTCCCACGTAATGCAGCAGGGCGACTGCAATGCCCCCTCTACTTTTCAACGTCTAATGACCCACCTATTCAGGCAACACATAGGTATATTCGTGCATGTATACCTAGACGATATTTTTATATTCTCGAATACAATTGAGGAGCACGAAAGGCACCTCGAAATAGTATTCGATACACTACGTAACGCGCACCTATACCTTTCCAAAAAGAAGGTTGATCTCTATTCGGATCGAATGGAGTGTCTGGGCCACCTGATCGACCGCCAAGGGATTCACGCGGAGAAGGACAAATTGGAACAGATCCGCGATTGGCGAACACCGAGGAACTATAGCGAAGTAGCCCGATTCTTGGGCCTGGTGCAATATTTGGCACAATTCATGCCGAATGTAGCTACATACACAACACCGCTATCGAACATCTGTAGCGACGGTGCGCCATTTCATTGGCGACCGATACATGAGAAATGCTTTCGCATGATCAAAGAATTGGCGTGCCGAGCGCCCATACTGAAACCCGTCGACTTCGAAAGCCCCGATCCGATCTGGGTGATCTGTGATGCCTCGACCACGGGCGTCGGTGCCTATTATGGACAAGGTCCAAATTGGGAGACGTGCCGCCCGGCAGGCTTCATGTCGAAGAAGTTTACTAACGCGCAACGAGGCTACGCGACGTATGAGCATGAAACGCTCGCAATACTCGAAGCCCTCCTCAAATGGGAGGATAAACTAATCGGAAGAAAAATAAATATTGTAACGGACCACGAGACTCTTGAATTCTTTAAGAGTCAGAAAAATATGTCGTATCGCCAACGGCGATGGTCAGAATATCTCAGCCGATTTGACTACACTCTAACGTACATACAGGGGGAGACGAATGTCGTCGCGGACGCATTATCCCGGTGCCACAAGGCCGACCGCCCTAGCGAGAATCCCGCACCGTACTACTTTGTCGATGCGGATCGGCGGTTAGACCCCGCTGGGGACGATCTACCCGCACTCCGGAATGAGGAAATTGCGCACCTGAATGCCATGAGGCTACCAGAAGCCATCGAGAGCCGTGACCTAGAAGCGGAGATGTTAGCGCCCGAATCGGACGCTCCCGAAATTACTCCGCCGGTGATGTCGGAAGATGATCCGGTAGTATACGAAGCGGTAGCACATGGGCCGCTCCCGCCGCAAATCACTACTGAACACGATGAATTCGAAAAAGCAGTACGAGAAAACTACATGAATGATACCTTGTTTGCAAAGGTGTTGAAACATCCAACTGAGCACAAAGCGTTCACCATACGAAACGGACTGATCCTGGGCCGCAATCGTGCCGGAAAAGAAGTTCTTGGCGTACCACACGGTCGGCTCGGCGCTCGGAGCCTGAGAGAATTAGTGATTGATGCCGCCCACCGAACCCTGGGCCACTTCGGGCTTCAGAAAACAATAGACTACGTACAAAGGTTCTATTGGTGGCCTCAGATGTCACGCGATATTGAAAAATTCTGCGCGACATGCCACATTTGCCAAACGACGAAGGACCGCAACAGGAAACCCGAAGGATTGCTGCACAGCCTCCCGGTGCCTGGGTGCCCATGGAGCTCGATAGCAATGGACTTCCTGGGACCGTTTCCCCGGTCCCGCGGATTCGATTACCTTTGGGTAATTATTTGCCGACTAACGAGTATGGTACACCTCATACCGTGCACCACTAAATCAAAAGCCTCGGAATTAGCATACATGTTTGTACGCGACATTGTGAGACTACATGGGCTGCCGGATACGATAGTATCCGACCGAGATTCTAAATTTAATTCGAAGTTCTGGCGGGAGACTCACCGGATACTCGGAACGAAGCTATTGATGTCGACCGCGTTCCACCCACAAACAGATGGCGTCACTGAGCGCGCAAACCGATCGGTGGCGCAGATTATGCGAACCCTGATTCGGCCCGATCAGACCGATTGGGTCGACGCGCTCCCACTCACTGAATTTGCAATGAACGCAGCGCGTTCCGAAACGACAGGATTCTCTGCGTTTGAATTAACGTACGGGTACATACCGCGAATGCTGCACGAATTCGGAATGGAAAACACCTCGCCTGGAGTACGAGAATTTGCTCTGCACGCGAAGCACTGCCTGGAACAGGCCCATGATGCCATCATAGCATCACGTGTTCGCCAAGCACATCACGCGAACCAGCGGCGACGCGACCACCAAGCCTATCGGCCTGGTGATCTGGTCTACGTGAGTACGGCTAACCTTAATTTGCCCATCAAACGTGCACGCAAGCTCGCGCCTCGGTTCATTGGACCGTTCAAGATCCTTGAGGCCAACAATGACGTCAGCGTCTATTTGATTGACTTGCCTGCCGATCTCAAAGCGCGCCGCGTGCATCCCCGATTTCATATCAGTAAGCTTCGGCCGTACATGCCGAATGACGATAAACTATTCCCGGGCAGGGACCCTGCAAACTTTTATGACTTCGGGCAAGCCGAGGATTTAGAATACGAAGTTGAGGAAATACTAACCCATGAATGGCATGGGGATACCATATTATTCTTAGTGCGATGGACACTGGGCGATAGCTCATGGGAGCCGTGGGAAAATGTCAAAGATCTGTCCCTGATGGACAGGTACTTCGAAATCGAAGGCGTGAGCCGCGTGGAAGACCTGCCGAAATCTCGGCCGCCGATCCAAGGCCTGCCCGCCCCCGAGGGCGCAATAGTCACTCCGTACAGTATGCGTCCTGTTGGGCGCGATGGAAAAATATTCTGGTCAGTCGGGCCCTCAGGTATAAAAGTGCGCTATCATGCACCGAAAGCTGCGTAACGAACGACGTTGCAGCTTATACTACATACACACATACACTACGACGACTATGCCTCTCGCAAAGCCCTACGTGATCGGCCCTGCCCGTGGCTCGCCCTACCCGATGCCCGCGGTAAACCTACCCAACATGTCGCGCCAATTGGAGCAACTTACCCAGCGCGTTGAAGCGCTCGAAGCCGCCCTTGGCTTCCAGAACGCCGAAGTAAGCACAAATTAAAACCCCGATATG